ACATCAAGTAGACGGCCACCAAAAAACAAAGACATCAAGTAGACGGCCACCAAAAAACAAAGACATCCAGTAGACGTCCACCAAAAAAAAAAATGCAACAACTTATTAAAAAAAATCAACGGCAGGTGCTCACACTTTAGAAGTTCCTGCCCAAAGCACAAGTTTAAATCCCAAGCTGTCGACATTTTTAAATTCGTGTTTCTGTGTGTGTTGTTGTTGCCACTTAAAAGGAAAAAGTTTAAACTACATCCAACCCCATTACACATGTTCCACAAAGCACAAATACGGTGGATTAAGGACAATGAGGAAATGTTTCAAAAAATGTATTTAAGGTCAGATTTAGTGAACGGAAATTGCTCAAATTTTGTCAGAAGGCAGAGAATTAGATCTTTCACTTACGTGTGAAATTTCGTTTATTTATATGAATTTGTTCTTTTAGAAAAATTGAAAGTAGAAAAAGCTTTAATTAGGAAGTTCCCGTCGAAAAAAAAATTTTAAACTAGAGAGCAAGCAATTTTTCTCTATAGCTTTTCCAAGGTACATCCGAATATGCATTTCCGCTATAAAAAAAAATGACAAAATTATTGGTAACTATGACAACGGCGGCCATCTGGAAAAATTAACCTCTTCGTAGGATTCCCACCATTAATAAAATATTACATTTTAAGTCCAATAAACAAAAAAATATTAATCTACCTCCATATTTTGGGGTACTCAGCTATAAAAATTAAGTGCCGATATTCAAACTAATTTCTTATGAATTTTCAAATTTTGAATCCGGTAAAAACACTAAATTTTGTGGACTTCCGATGTCTTAAATTTAGTGTTTTTGACACACTGACATAGAGGCACACAAGACACACCGACATACAGACACACACGGCACACCGACATACAGACACCAAGACACACAGACATACAGACACCAAGATACACCGACACACAGACATACAGACACCAAGACACACAGACATACAGACACAGAGACAGACACCAAGACACACCGACATACAGACACCAAGACACACAGACATACAGACACCAAGACACACCGACATACAGACACCAAGACACACCGACATACAGACACCAAGACACACAGACATACAGACACACAAGACACACCGACATACAGACACCAAGACACACCGACATACAGACACCAAGACACACAGACATACAGACACACAAGGCACACCGACATACAAGACACACAGACATACAGACACCAAGACACACCGACATACAGACACCAAGACACACCGACATACAGACACCAAGACACACCGACATACAGACACTAAGACACACAAGACACACCGCAATACAGACACCAAGGCACATCAATCCATCCATCCTGAAGACCATCACTCTCACAAAACGTCACCTAAACTTTCCCGACTGACAACAGAATCATACCTTGATTAGACCGCTGAGTAATAAACATTTAGTGTCAAGTTTTCTAACAACCCAAAACGTCACCTAAACTTTCCCGACTGACAACAGAATCATACCTTGATTAGACCGCTGAGTGTGAAACATTTAGTGTCAAGTTTCCTAACAACCCAAAACGTCACCTAAATTTTCCCGACTGACAACAGAATCATACCTTGATTAGACCGCTGAGTGTGAAACATTTAGTGTCAAGTTTTGCTAGCAACTAGAAATATAATTTTAAATTTTTTCACGCAACATTTACAGAAATTGTAATCAGCTGGGTTTTGTTACCCTATAAAACTGATTGGGGTCATTGACCTACGTAAATAAACAAAATTGTTTGCTTAAAATTCAGTATGGTATGTGGTAACGTTTAGAGAAATTCCACCTCTGGGGGGGGGGGGGGGCCACCAAGAGAGACAGGGTAAGATCATGTGTGGTGTGTGGTGTGTGGTGTGGGGTGTGTGGTGTGTGGTGTGTGGTGTGGGGTGTGGGGTGTGGGGTGTGTGGTGTGTGGTGTGTGGTGTGTGGTGTGGGGTGTGTGGTGTGGGGTGTGTGGTGTGGTGTGTGGTGTGTGGTGTGTGGTGTGTGGTGTGGGGTGTGTGGTGTGGGGTGTGTGGTGTGGGGTGTGTGGTGTGGGGTGTGTGGTGTGTGGTGTGTGGTTTAGAGTTACAGCCAGCCTAGAGATAGGCTTGTGTTACGGGTGTAAAAGTTGACTCGGCTCGCCTTGTGTGGGCACAGCTGGTTGCTACAAAGATTTTGTTTATACTTAGTAGTCAGTCGAAGTGAATCAGACTAATCAGTAGCAAGTTACGGAAACATAGTTTTGCAATATTTTCCGTATGTCTGTGTGTGTATGTGTGTGTAAACACGATAACTTGAGGACCGTTAAAGCTAGGTTGATGAAATTTCATATATAAGTATTATATCAAAATCGTAGATCCGTATCAACTTTTGAGCGATTTCCGATAACCGAATTTTTTTTTATGAATTTTTTTACATGCTTTTCAAGACATGAAGACAATGCAATCTGAAATTAAATTTGACTTAATTGGATGCCTAATTATTTTTTTTTAAATGAATTAAAATTTGGACCGAATTAGTAGGCATGTCTATCCAACCACACCACACGCGTCATCACGTTCAATAGCTGCGCCATCACGTTCAGTAGGCGCGCAATGAAAACATGTAAAGTACTAAAAAATATTTCATAAATAACGTTTTAATAACAAGCTTTTATGTACTAATGCACTAAAAAGTAGAAAATAAATTATAGACTACTATTTAAATAACTAAAAAGAAAACGTGGGTTACTTTAGTATCTATTGGATACCTTTACTAATGTTTAGGAGAGACCCACGCTTTTCTTTATAGTTATTTAAATAGTAGTCTATAATTTATTTTCTACTTTTCTTTATAGTTATTTAAATAGTAGTCTATAATTTATTTTCTACTTTTTAGTGCATTAGTACATAAAAGCTTGTTTTTAAAACGTTTTTATGAAAAAAAATGTGTTTAAAAGTTTAAGTATTTAAAATGGATTAAAAATCATAACTATATCCCGAGTTCCCATCCCCTGTTGTTTTATATAAGAATATTCGAGAAAGTTTAGGGGAGATCACTCCCGCTTTATTTCAGATTCAAATCGGCAAGCCAGCTACTGCTACTGCTACTGCTAGGGGTGGGGTTAGGGTTAAAGGTACTAAAACACACACCTTTAGACAGTAAATAACAGTTGATTATACCGTCCACATTTCGTTAAAATTAATGTTTTGACCATTCCCTACCCGTTTCTTGCTGTTAATATTACCAGAACGTTGCTCCATTTAAAAATGTGTATTGGAATTCTATTACCTTAGTCGACATCAGCATTGATGTAAAAACATTGACTTTGATTCATGCAATAAGAATAATTTTGTCACAGACTGTATTATTAGGTATCTTTATTATATTGTGTTTTACATGAAGTTGCATGAATGTAGAGTACCTGGCTAGCGGAAGGACTGTCTGAGCGACTCGTCATGTATTTTTCCATGCGTTTGGGTGAGATCGCTCATTGACGTAAGGGGAGAGAATGGACCGTATAATAATAATCATTAAAAAAGTTTTAAAAAAAACACGTTTTCTGATTGAACTAAAAAGTAGAAAATAAATGCTATACATCACAATAATGCAAGCGATCACTCTACTATAAGCGATCAAAAACGTGGGGCGCCGAAGTAAAAGTTATATTACTATTGATTACATAATACTATTGACTTTTATTAGGGAGCTTGTAGAGAGTCAACAGTATTAGAAACTGTAAGAAAATCACGGCGCCCCACGTTTTTGATCGCTTATAGTAGAGTGATCGCTTGCATTATTGTGATGTATAGCATTTATTTTCTACTTTTTAGTTCAATCAGAAAACGTGGGTTTTTAAAAACTTTTTTAATGATTATTATTTTCTACTTTTTAGTCTTTGTCTGTTTGTTTGCATTTAAATCTTGCTATCGATTTTATCTTTTCACTTTTTTTTGGGTAAACGAAGACAACTCGTTGTGTGAATACGTTACTGACTAGAACACATAGATTTGAACCCGTGTCGAGTGGGATAGCAATCGTGTGCCCAACCATATCGTCCCCCCCATACTGGCCACCAGTTGTTACGGTTGTTTGTACACAAACACTGCGTGAACACTACTCAGTAAGCAAAGAGGGAGAGTACCGAACCTTGTTTTCATCAAATTACAGTTACTGGGTTATGTCCCTTTTCCCCCACGTTTTTACTACAATTATATAGCGCTCTAAAATGCTCAATAAAATGTTTCCATGGATCAATTTAGTAATAATAACAATTGAATATTCTATTGTCATCCAAAACAAAGCTTCCCTGAAAATTTCAGCGCGCTAGCTAACTGGGAAGTGCCAGAAATTTCGATCGCAAGATTTGATTGGAAAGACAGAGACGAAAGCAAGTTAAAGAAAACGTGGGGAAAAGGGGCGCAAGGTGAACGAAAGGGGGCTTGGACTGTGGCTGTGAATATGAAGTAGGATGTCACCAGGTCACTTTGATTCGTGATTGTACTTGTACCAGTTGTTTATCTTCTACTATGGATTTACTATGGAATTATCCTTTCACTGTGTAAAGTGTAAATAAAGTTTATAGTTTAAAGTTACTACTATTGCTCGTGTTCTTGTATCAAAACCAACCCACAACAAGAAGTGATATTACTGTTGTTACAAATTTAGGGTGTTGTTTTTTATGTATGTCTCCTTTCCCCCCCCCCCCCCTAGGGTAGACCAGCATTGATGTAAAAACATTGACTTTCATTCATGCAATAAGAATATTTGACGGTGTTGTTTTTTGTGTATATCCCCCCCCCCCTTACCATTCTACTAAAGATTGGCTAAGGACTGGCAGTGTTGACGTTAGGTTATCCTAGGGTAGACCAGCATTGCCAGGACTTTTTAAAATTTTTACTTTCCTCGGCGGCACGATGATTGAGCTGTCAGTTGTGATGTGAAGTTTTCAGGTTTTTCTTAATTAGCAACACAAACAACTTTTCATTTTATAAGTTTATTGTATATCAGTGGTCGACTTTCAAAACACGAACATTAACAATAAAATCTTGTGGCAGGACAAACTGACCTCCAGTGACGTCATTGACTCGGCAGGGAGCAGTGTCGAGCTGCGGGCCGCCAGCCGTTCTAAGACCACCTAAAACACCACCAGCTAGCCAAAGAGGCCGCCCAAGAGGTCGCCACCTAAGAGACCACCACCCAAGACACTGCTCGTTAGACCACTAGCGAGACCACCAACGCCTTTTACCAGCCCGCCAGCCATGTCTAGAGGACCTTTAACTGCATTGAGAGCACCACCAGCGAGACCACCGCCTGTACTCAGTAGACCATTGACAGCACCACTTCCCGTGTGGGCGACACCAGAAACAGCACCACCGAGGAGATTATCTAAGCCCAGCAAGCCTGGAAGTTTGGAGAGGTCAACAGTTATTGAAAAACTAAATCGTTTGTTGGTTGTTATTTTTTTAATTATGGTATACTAGATTACTAGATAAATGGCCCGTTTGAGGGAGAAATACAACGGGTTATAGATTGATAGTAATGTCTTTTCTCTAAACCGAAATCAAAACCAAAATCACCACCTCAACCTCAAATTTAACCGGAAACAAAAAATGTCATTGAAAACGAATTTATAGCCAGAATCGGCATTTTAACCGGATCCGGAAATTAAGCCGGATACGGAAATTCAGACAGAAACGGGAGAAATTTAACCGAAAACGAAAATTCATTGAAAATGGATTTTATCTAGAATGAGTATTTCAAAAGCAACCTGAAATTTTAACGGATGGATACGGAACTTTAGGGAGAAACGGAAATTTACAAATTTTGGTTGAAAGAAAAACTTTATCAGGAATAGGCACTTTTACCGGATTTGTAAATTTCTCCGGTTATGGAAATTCATTCGGAACCGGCGTTCTAACTTAATCCGCACATTTAACCGTAAATAAATCTTTATCTGACCTGAAACTAAATTAAAAACGGGAACGGAAATTTATCCGGAAACGATATTTTACTTATTCGGAAATTTAACCGCATCCTGAAATTTAACCGCAATCGGAGCTTTAATCGGTATCTATAATATAAGCGGGCTGAGAGTGTGTCAGTCCTTCCTTCCTTCATTCCGTCATCGCTATAAATTTTGGAACCATAAAAGTAAACATCGCACCACGCAATGCTTTTCAGTGCACCGCAGTATCTTATTATAAGTAATAGAGTAGGGTTTGTTTATATAACGATATAAAGCTTTTTTAGAGTTGCCACTGTTTTTACTCTTTTGCATAACGTCAAAAAAATATTAGATACACGCACATTCCTAAAACATATTAAAAGAATCAATGTCAAATATCATTTTCGTTTATATTCCTAGAAAAAGTGGATGCATTTTAATAACGTAATAACAGTAGGGTAGAAAAATCAAATTAATTAAACTCTTTTTTTCTAATTTTGACAAGGGAGGTAATTTAAAAATAAATTAAACTCACGCTAATAAAAAAAATGTGAATGCAAATCTGCGGACGTCCTACAAGGAATTAGTGTTGCAATAATATAATTAGCAAAATGTGAATGCAAATTATGCGGATGTGTAAGACGAAATTTTGTTAGAAAATTATATTAGCATGGATTGATAAAAGGCAATCTTTTATTTATTTACTACTTATAATTTTTAATTAACTATTTAGCACTCTTATAGACGCGTCATCACGTTCATTGGGTGCGCAATGATTTTAGTTATGAAACACTATTGTAATTTTTTTTTTAATTTAAAGTACTGAAAAAAAAGGCGTGAATTGATAAAGTGCAATATGGTAGGTAAAACATGGATATTTTAAATACTGCCTTTTATTTATTGTATACACTGAACGTACTGTTTACTAATTATTATTATATCTTTCGGTTTGCGTACAAGCTGGGGGTTTTTTAGGCGTTCACTGAATCAGGCGCGTCCGCCGGTGCTCGGACAGAGTGCATTGATTATTATATGTTAAGGTTCATAAGTAAAATAGAAAAATGTTCTTTTATATGTTTAGAAAAGGTGGAAACATTTTCATAACAGTAGGTCGAAAAGCTAATTAATTCAACTTTTTTTTGGTAATTTTTGCAAGGGAGGTAATTTAAAAATAAATTTAACTCATCAATAATTGAAGTTATTTTTTTTATTACTACCGCATTGATTATTATATGTTAAGGTTCATAATTAAAATAGAAAATGTTAAGATTATTTATATATTTTTTTAATTAGTCTATGATTTCTCAAAATCACTATTTTTTGTTTTTGTTTTTCTGTGTTATTAAAACAGATGGTGAAATTAGACTTTTAGAGAATGCTGGAAAGGCTCTCTCAAGGAAAACGTGTTTTTAATATTCAACTCACTCTCAATAATTTAAGTTAATTTTTTTTATTACTACCAAATTGATTATTATATGTTAAGGTTCATAAGTAAAATAGAAAAATGTTAAGATTATTTATATTGTTTTCTAATTAGTCTATGATCTCTCAAAATCACTATTTTTTGTTTTTGTTTTTCGGTGTTAACAGATGGTGAAATTTTAGAATTATAGTATAGAGAATGCTGGAAAGGCTCTCACTGGGCGCGGACGCTCGGGAAAAGCATGTTTTTCGGTGGTGATTCTAATTACATTGCCAATGTGTTTTCTTAGAACCATAAAAGTAAACACCACTTGCCGTACATTTATTTGCATCGCATTGTTTTATTGTAAGTTATGGAGTAGGATCTATTTATGTGACTTAATTTTTTTTTGCTGGAAAGGCTCTCTGTGGACGTGGACGCCTGGGAAAGCGTGTTGTTCGGTGGTGATTCTAATGTTGTGGTTGTGTTGTGGTTGTGCTGTGATTGTTTTTTGTTTGTGTTTGTGTTGTTTTTTTGTTTGTTTCTTATGCTGGAAACGTTCTCTTTGGGCGCGGGCGCCTAGGAAAGCGTGTTCTTTGGTTGTGTTGTGGTTGTGTTGTGGTTGTGTTGTCGTTGTGTTGTCGTTGTGTTGTCGTTGTGTTGTGGTTGATTTGTGGTTGTGTTGTGGTTGTGCTGTGGTTGTGTTGTGGTTGTGTTGTGGTTGTGTTGTGGTTGTGTTGTGGTTGTGTTGTAGTTGTAGTTGTGTTGTGGTTGTGTTATTGCTGTGGCTGTGTTGTGGTTGTGTTGTGGTTGTTTTGTGGATGTGTTGTGGTTGTTTTGTTTGTGTTGTGGTTGTTTTGTGGTTGTGTTTGTGGTGTGTTTTTGTTTGTTTTGTTCTGTTCCCAAGTTTGTACATTTAAAAAAGACTTACCGTGGCGGAGCATGGGTATGCAGCTAGTGAAATTTAACTGGATACGAAACTTTATTCGGAACTGGCATTTTAGCCTGATCCGGACATTAAACGCGAAATAAAACCCAAAACAACGCTCATTACACTTAGACCTTTGACTGACCGGCTAACTACACTGAGATCACTGACCGGCAAACTGAGACCACTGACCGGCTAACTGAGACCACTGACCGGCTAACTGAGACCACTGACCGGCTAACTAAGACCACTGACCGGCAAACTGAGACCACTGACTGGCTAACCACACTGAGACACATACCTGGCGCTGGTTTACTTGAGACACAGGCTACTAAGACGGCGAGGATTGAGGCTAGGAAGACACGCATCTGGTAAAACAAATGTTAATTAATTTAATTAGACAAATCACTTAGAGACTAATGAGGAAAGCAATTAATGAATGAGCTGGCCGTCTGTCATCTAATCACTGGTTGAGAAAACGATGTTTGTTACAATGTCAGCAAACATGCCCAACCCAACCCAACCCGTCATGAAATAAACCCTCGTCCTTACCTTGATATGTTGTGAGTTTAGTGTCTGAATGCTACGTACAATAGACGGAGAAGGGCCAAACTTTTATAGCAACTGGGCCCTGATATCCAGCCACGATACAGAGATTATTGGCTGCTAGAGTGGATTAGTTTACCATACAGAGATTATTGGCTGCTAGAGTGGATTAGTTTACCATGTAGGCGCCTCGCTGGGTGCACATCGTCGAAACTAAACTCCTGCACTGATTGGTATCTATTGATCAATGTCTACATAATGAGGTTTTGTGGTCAAACATCAAGATGTCTACATAATGAGGTTTTGTGGTCAAACATCAAGATGTCTACATAATGAGGTTTTGTGATCAAACATCAAGATGTCTACATAATGAGGTTTTGTGGTCAAACATCAAGATGTCTACATAATGAGGTTTTGTGATCAAACATCAAGATGTCTACATAATGAGGTTTTGTGGTCAAACATCAAGATGTCTACATAATGAGGTTTTGTGATCAAACATCAAGATGTCTACATAATGAGGTTTTGTGGTCAAACATCAAGATGTCTACATAATGAGGTTTTGTGATCAAACATCAAGATGTCTACATAATGAGGTTTTGTGATCAAACATCAAGATGTCTACATAATGAGGTTTTGTGGTCAAACATCAAGATGTCTACATAATGAGGTTTTGTGATCAAACATCAAGATGATTAATTTTTATAGGAGAATACGTGTCACTACATGACAGTTTTCTACAGGCAGAGTCATTGTACTGGTTTGTCAGGTGATCCCTGTCAGACAGGTGTGTCAGGTGATCCCTGTATGACAGGTGTGTCAGGTGATCCCTGTATGACAGGTGTGTCAGGTGATCCCTGTATGACAGGTGTGTCAGGTGATCCCTGTATGACAGGTGTGTCAGGTGATCCCTGTCACACAGGTGTGTCAGGTGATCCCTGTATGACAGGTGTGTCATGTGATCCTGTCACAGACAGGTGTGTCAAGTGATCCCTGTCAGACAGGTGTGTCAGGTGATCCCTGTCAGACAGGTGTGTCAGGTGGTCCTGTATGACAGGTGTGTCAGGTGGTCCTGTATGACAGGTGTGTCAGGTGATCCCTGTCAGACAGGTGTGTCAGGTGATCCCTGTCAGACAGGTGTGTCAGGTGATCTCTGTCAGACAAGTGTGTCAGGTGATCCCTGTATGACAGGTGTGTCAGGTGATCCCTGTATGACAGGTGTGTCAGGTGATCCCTGTATGACAGGTGTGTCAGGTGATCTCTGTCAAACAGGTGTGTCAGGTGATCCCTGTCAGACAGGTGTGTCATATGTTCCTGATTATGTGTCATTACGGCGATGTTACATTTTAAACACCAATATGGGTTTTTCGTTAATATTAAGGTTACTTTGGTAACATCTGCGATGTTATACTCTTAACATCAGCGATGTTAAATTGTTAACATCAGCGATGTTGAATTGTAAACATCACCGATGTTGAATTGTTAACATCTGCGATGTTGAACTGTTAACATCAGCGATGTTGAACTGTTAACATCAGCGATGTTATATTGTTAACATCAGCGATGTTAAACTGTTAACATCGCTAGGTTACCCCCCCCCCCTTGCCCGTCCCATCCCGCACCACCGTGGCAATAAGAGGAGCACAGATGTTCTGGAAGGTTCTAGTTTCGTGTTACCTTCTAGCCACACCGTCCTCTCACCTTGGGGTACGGCTAATCCAATATCAGCTGACGTCACCCAACCTAAGGTCGACAAACTTCACACCATTGGGCCTGCTGATAGTGTTTTATGTGTTGATGACATCTATGTCAAGTGTTGATGACATCTATGTCATATGTGGATGACATATATATGACGAATGTGGGTTATGTTTAAGTGGGTGAACGCCAGTACAACATACGGTCAACGCGGGTCGTGGGGTGAGGTCATAAGGTCAACGCGGGTCGTGGGGTCAGGTCATAAGGTCAACACGGGTCGTGGGGTCAGGTTATGAACAATAAACAAGCAGCAAACTGACCACAGTTGAAAAACAATTACCACACTGTCCACAGTTGGTACACAACCACCACACTGACTACAGTTGGTACACAACTACCACACTTACCACAGTTGGTACACAACTACCACTGACCACAGTTGGTACACAACTACCACACTGACTACAGTTGGTACACAACTACCACACTGACTACAGTTGGTACACAACTACCACACTGACCACAGTTGGTACACAACTACCACTGACTACAGTTGGTACACAACTACCAAACTGACCACAGTTGGTACACAACTACCACTGAACACAGTTGGTACACAACTACCACACTGACCACAGTTGGTACACAACTACCACTAACTACAGTAGGTACACAACTACCACACTGACCACAGTTGGTACACAACTACCACTGACTACAGTTGGTACACAACTACCACTGACCACAGTTGGTACACAACTACCACTGACTACAGTTGGTACACAACTACCACACTGACCACAGTTGGTACACAACTACCACGCTGACCACAGTTGGTACACAACTACCACTGACTACAGTTGGTACACAACTACCACACTGACCACAGTTGGTACACAACTACCACTGACTACAGTTGGTACACAACTACCACACTGACTACAGTTGGTACACAACTACCACTGACCACAGTTGGTACACAACTACCACACTGACTACAGTTGGTACACAACTACCACACTGACCACAGTTGGTACACAACTACCACTGACCACAGTTGGTACACAACTATCACTGACCACAGTAGGTACACAACTACCACTAACTACAGTTGGTACACAACTACCACACTGACCACAGTTGGTACACAACTACCACACTGATCACAGTTGGTACACAACTACCACTGACCACAGTTGGTACACAACTATCACTGACCACAGTAGGTACACAACTACCACACTGACCACAGTTGGTACAAAACTACCACACTGACCACAGTTGGTACACAACTATCACTGACTACAGTTGGTACACAACTACCACACTGACCACAGTTGGTACACAACTACCACACTGACCACAGTAGGTACACAACTACCACACTGACCACAGTTGGTACAAAACTACCACACTGACTACAGTTGGTACACAACTACCACTGACTACAGTTGGTACACAACTACCACTGACTACAGTTGGTACACAACTACCACACTGACTACAGTTGGTACACAACTACCACACTGAACCAACTTCCTCAACTAAATCTAATTGTAAACTTTGCTGGATGGAAGATCCCATAACTGGCATAATATTCTTCGTCTCTGTCTGGAGATGGTCAGTACATAATTACATCATTAAGTGATGGTCAGTACATAATTACATCGTTAAATGAAGGTCAATACATAATTACATCGTTAAATGAAGGTCAATACATAATTAAAAGGTTAGCACATAAGTACAACACTCAGGTCAACACTCTATTCCGATTCCGTCCACGGGCAGCGAGTTAATAAAGTGTTTTCTAAAGTGCCCTTTTAAAACCGAATTCACAAATAAATTTCAGCTCATTCAAACCCCATTTTTTTTCTCATACCAATCTAATTAACTCAAATAATGTTCGTATATTTTTAGTTCGATTTAAACAGCGGAAAAAAAAATTGAGCCAACCTTATTGTGTACATTCTAATTACCGTGACGTTGCAAGTTTACACTAACGCTCTATGATTGGTTAACAAATTATTTCACTAGGATCGGGCAATTATTTTTAGCCACGTTAGTTGGTGCTTGTTTGCTAAATTTTACCGCTGAGGGTTTAGTTTGAGAAGTAACAGAAAATAGTTTAAACACACAATGAATTGTTATTTTCTTAAAGCATAATTATAATAGGCGAGGGGCGAGGGCAAAGTTTTAAGATTAGGGCTTGGTTAATACACATGTTTATGCATTGATCGATCAACACTAATTATTGCATCGTAATTAAATATTGCTCTACTAATGTTTAGAAAGCTAATGAGAGGCAATTATTTTATTTTTTTTAATTTACGCTAATTTAATGGAATACGTTGTAAGATAAATCTATTGTGATGAAATAAACTTAGAGATCCGCTCTTTGTCGATATAAATTATAACCTCAGTGGTGCTTCCACAAGTTGATGCTAGATACATATCCCTCCGCTGGTTGGTGTTAGGTTTGTCTACATCCGCTAGTTGATGTTAGGTTTGTCTAAATCCGCAGGTTGATGTTAGGTTTGTCTACATCCGCTAGTTGATGTTAGGTTTGTCTAAATCCGCAGGTTGGTGTTAGGTTTGTCTACATGCGCTGGCCCATGTACATGTGCTATTTGCACATTTCGGAACTTGTTTTCCAACAATTTATCTACGTCACGCATGCATGTCATGTGATCAACGTCACATACCAACACAATTTAGTCGTAGCTGTTTTTCTTTATTAAAGTTGAATTGAAAATGTCGGAAATGAAAAATATGTCAACTGAAATAATTAAGGAGAACTCTGGACAGTTGGTAAATGTGGAGTTCGTTCCCCCTGACATTTTGATGACAGAAGCCCAACGAAGGATGATGGAAATCATCATCGACATGACATTTAATTTTATCATCGCTTTCATCGGCATTTTCTCAAACGTTATCGTCATAACCGTCTTCACTAAACAAGGGTTCAAGGACAGCGTCGGTATCTCCATGACAACCATCGCCGCCTGGGACCTGGTCAAGAGTCTGGGGGGCGCCATGCAAAGAATGGCCGGCCCTATCGGGATCTGGTCCCCGTCCAGCGCGGCCAGCTGGTCCAACATCAGCCTGGTCATCTTCAACTACCTGGTCTCCTTCTCCACCTACGTGGCCAGCGTGCTGGCCTCCTATGTGGCCGTGGAGAGGTGCCTCTGTGTCACCATGCCCCTCAAGGTCAAGTGGATGCTCACCCCCAAGGTCTCCTTCATCGTGTGCGGCGTCATCTCCTTTGTCGTCTTCGGCTGCTTCGCTGTCATTTTCGGTATCTACGACGTGGTGTGGGTGTGGGACCCCCGCTACAACTCCACCATCGCCGTCTACCAGTACAACGCCTTCTCCACCAGCCACAGCGCCGAGCTGTTCGGCTACTACAA